CACACACACACACACACACACACACACACACACATATGTATATATATATATATATATATATGACAGTATAGAAAACTATAGATCGTTCAAAAAATATAGAACGTTCTTCGTATTCATCGACGACAATGCCATTGCGGTTAATTGGTACCTGTCGCAACATTCAAACTTACGCCTGGGATAGGGATGTAGAAAGGATGGCATCTTATGGAAGAACGGCCATGGTTCACCGCCAATCGCAGCTATAAACATGCGAAGTCTTACAATACGTTGATAATATCACAGTAGCTGTACGTATAAGTATTCTATAAACAGACGGCATACAATTCTCCATATACAGATACGATATTGACGACAACGTATATGGATGATATATGTATTAATTGTGACACCTTCATCATAACTTACAACTGGGATCAGGAAACTTCAGAAGTATGTTATCTGCGTAGAACGTTTCGATGCGTGCCTTCAGCTCCGCCTGGATCGGCAGCAGAGTCTCAAAGAACATATCGTGGTGCCTCTGAGATATACCTGTGAATAATCGAGAACGTACGGGAGGCTGGAGCTTAGAAAATAAATACATCTGACACATATGCTCATTTCGTTGACAGTACTCGAGAGACCACGAACGACGACAGCTCTGAATGCAGATGATAGAGAGTGATTGGACGACGGTACCTCAAACACTCATTACTTGGCACACAGACTGATATCATTTGGGGTACAGGCTGTTAGCTAGTATCGACCAAAGCCGTCGTATTGCGCATCGCTGCGTTGTGATGGTATGCACCACATTGGAGAGAGTATATAGCACCATGCCTAAGTACCCTACAGGAACAACGTCAGCCAACGAGGTGTATTGTATATATTTCATCATGGCCGGTTGGTCGATATTGCCACAGCCACCAAGCCAACATATACGATCATTCACATTTGTGATAAAAAGGGGAGGACTCAGAAAAAGCCAATATCTCCTGCACATCATACACGGTACACGTACATTCTCAGTCTCACTATCGATATAGTATTGGCAGTATTGTTTTTCGTCTAGTGTCATATCCGTGTATGTATACCCTCGCAACCCACACTCCTGTGCGCCATCTCAGACACAGGTCTCATACTCCCGACGACGCTCTAAGCAGTAAGAATTGCGAGCAACACCACACAGAGAAGGACTACAGATGATGCGCCCAGTAAAGCTGCACATGCTAACGTAGCCCTATATATATATATACATACACACACACACACACACACACACAACAATATATATATATATATATATATTATTATTATATATATATAGGGTAGGGGG